GAAACAGTTTCATTAATTTTATCTTCATTATCGTTCAAATTAATGGGTTTAAAAAAATTTGTAAGAGAATTTGTCTTTTCTGACGCTACAGTAAATTTTCTATGAGGACCATATTTACGATAATAAGTTCCAGTTGAATTGCTTATATATAGTCTTTTTTTTTTTGCGCGAAATTAGTTCACACCAAATCAAATCCAAGTAAGTATTTTCATCGTTGCTCCAAATATTCATCTAAATCATATTCACTTTCTTCAGAATATGCACTTTCTTCAGAAGATGCATAAAAATCACTTTCCTTAACAGAATTATTACATTTATTGGAAACAAATTTACCACTGGAGTTGCGTTTAATTTTTCATTTTTTTGCTGCTCTTAGAACTTTTGTTAATGGCATTTTTACATTTTAAAAGGTACAAAATATCAGAATTTTTTTTTCTGATGAATTTCAGGTGAAATCACAATGGTTTTCTATTTTTAGTATATTCTCAAATTTGATAGGTATAATTAAATCGTGTAACTTTAACCCCAGTAAAAGTTGATTAATTTTAATCAGATCAAAATTTTAACCGATAATTCTGAAAGCCTAAGTTCTGGGCTAGCATTTTCTACAGTTAGAATTTTTATTTCTATATTTGAAAAAAAAAGTTTTAAGGCAAAAAAGTTGATCAATTTTTACTATAACCAAGTTCCTATTATAGAGGTTCCGCACTGTAGAAAATCACTTCCTGTCTTGTAAATTGTAACCAAAGTCAAAAAAATTGAATTTTTGAATGTAAATTTCCGTGGGTCCCGTTTGTGTTATGGAAATTTACGTCCAAAAAATTTCCTGATGTGTGATTTTATTGACTTTATTTCACTATAATAATTATAATAAATATATTTTTGATAAGAAGATTTGATATTGTATTATTTTATATCAAGTTATTTAAGAATATGAATTTGATAAAAAATAATATTGATATTTGATTTTTCATCAAGCATAAATCACATGATTAACAAATTACGTGACAAATTTTCATTGATTAAAAAATGATTAATAATCATATGAGATCAGTCATTTTGTCACATTACTAATTTTTATTGGTTAAAATAATTATTAATCACGTGATATTTATTTATTTATATTCAAATACAAATAAATTATATTAATTTAAATAATTATATTAATTTGCAAACCACAATAATTATTAATACATTATTCTTAATTAATAACAAATTAATTATTATTAGATAAATTTAGTAAATCATATGATAAATATATTAATCAATAAAAATAATATACAGTAAGGTATAGTAATAGTATAGTAATGATACAGTTGTATAGATCATCTAAAATACGAATTAAAGTTCTATCTTAATTCTTTAATTTACAATTTTATAATTTTGAATTTTAATAGTTTGTAACTTATTTGAAATTAATAAATTTAATTTTATAATTTGTAACTCATAGATAAAAACTTGTAAAAATTATTTTGCAATTGGATTAATAAAAAATAAATATTGAAATATGAAATAAAAATTATAAAAATAATTATTAAATATAAAAATATAATAGTTAATAAAGAAATAATGGATATTATAAGATTAAATACTTGATTGTATAATTATATAATATTATTATTCTTGAATTAATAAAATTAACTTTGATAAATGGAAATAATACTTAATTACATCAGGAAATTTTTAAGGGCGGATAACTCCGTAAGTTTTCGGGATATAAAATTTCCGTAAATTTTTGCATAAATTTCTGTAAATTTTCGTAAATCTTC